AGTTAATCAGATCGTACAGATCTAAGATCCAATATGCAAATTTTCGGGTATTTATACTTTATAACAATCACCACCTGGAAATACTACTATCAATCCTAATTTATCCCCACAAACAACCCAATATGTTGCTTTCCCAACAATTGTTTGAATTCATGGCCTGCTGTTTCTTTGGGAGTTCCTTTAATCGATCGATGAAATTAACTAGATGTTTTGAAAATGCCAGATTTATTAGTGAACTTGTCTAACAAATCCACAGGAGATAATTATCAAATGGAATTCCTTTAAATTTTATGTGCTCAAGTAACAATCAACCTGTATTATTACTATTAGAAATTCAGTCATCATCATCATTTTATCTTCTTCCATCATTTTATTTCTCCATTTTATAATTACCATAAATATTAACTTGTGCATTTTGTGGAAATTCCTTGCTTGATCTTGTATAATCAAATGTGGTTTTGTATTTTTGCAGGCTCATCTCACATTCACATATGCTACAATATTTATCCAACCAATTCTTCATAACAGCATTCAAGAGAATATCTATCATCCATTAGCAAGCAAGCTAGTCCTTCTCGATTCTTGAATACCATTTTAGCTTGCCAATAAACTCAAACAGAAGAGTTGAGTGTTCTTTAGTTCAGGATTGATCCCCAAAAGAAGTTAATTTGTTTCTTAAGAAGAGATTTGCTAATTGGGAAATGCTAAAAGAGTTTTTGATTTGAGAAGTATAAAGTGACAAGGGATACATTGTTAGGATTGAAAGCTAAAGATCTGCACAAAGTAGGGTTACCATTTCTGGTTGCAGAACACCATTAAACGGTTAAAAAAAACCATTTACATCCGATTCTATGATGGTGAGGGTGAACCATTGGAAAAGTTTGAAGAATATGCGATGCATAACGAGGATGACCTTTGTAATTTTTTGAAAAGTGTTGACGGGAAGGAGTATAGGGACATTCAGTATGGTATAACTCTTGCAAAACATATGGTATGGTATTGTATAAGTGTAATAAAATGGTTGTATACCAATGCTTAAATCTAACATACTTCCCTTCACACCC